ATCGATACAAAGCGACTATTATTTACACCCCAACCTATTACTGATCTATGAAACTTAAGTTGATTTTGTAATATAAACCATTCTATTCAGATATGTTTGAATTTCAAGCAGACCATCTCTGTCTTTGTTCCACCAAACTGCAGAATGCAAAGCTGAGTATTTCTTTATTCCAGTGTTTTGCCTTCATTATTAGCACAGTAGCATAAAGAAGCTGACACCTTATTGATGTATATTTAGATTTCATTGTTCTGACAGTCTTTGGATGAGTCTGATGTTATTTTTATCTGAGAAGATTCGACCCTCCTGAGGTTCTACAGATTTGATGAAAACATCTGACTGTAGGAAGTGCTTCTGGCCCCTCCTGTGAGCAGCAGAGCTTTTTTAGATGAAGGTGGCACAGATACTGTACTCACAGCTAATGCTGGCTTTGTGAAAGCCTGGCACAAGAAGACTAAAACGCCTTTCCTTGCAGACTTCAGCTGAATGGAAACCCAGCTTTTTGTGTGTTCCTGCGCCGTCTCCAGGGTGCCAAGCAGCTTAAACCCAACAGGGATCTTTCTTTCCATTCAGCTGTTTCCAAAGAACCAGACTTCCACCAACAGTTTGTCTTTTTTCATCCCTGTTAACGTCTGAAGCTAACCATCAGAATATTTCATGGTGTTCTGAATCACGCATCTTTTCCTTTCCTTCCAGGACATTTTTAATCAACATATGATTGTTTTCTGGGCTTTTCAATCCATTTATGTCAAGTTGTATACATAAATGATTATCAATAATTAAATCTCCTTTTTTGGCCCCTTTTATCAAGTGAATAACCAGTCGCACTATTTTGCTCTGATCACAACATTGAAAAGTAGAACAAATGTAACTTTTTTTTTTAGATATGTAATCTATTTACTCCTCATCCAGAAAACAGTTTCTCACTGCAGCTAATATTAAAATCATAGAAATTACAATAACAGTTTTACAGTGTTTTGCGTCTAAAAACTGCGTCTAAATAAAGTAATACGCTGACGACTAACTTATTTCTATATATAGAGCGCTACAGCACATAGAGTGTTTATCGTTGCTGTTGCACCCATGTTTTCTTTCTGTTTTGCCCACACCCATTTCTTTCTCTATTGGGAGGCGGCGTTCATATGCAAACTATCGGATCAACCCAGTGAGACTTTGAGATGATCCACCTGTGGGTGGGGTGGGGTGGGGTGGGGTGGGGCAGCAGTGATGCAGCGTTTCATTGGGTAGAAGGAGGAGAGAGTAAACGGTTCAGACAGACAGCCATTTGGGAACCCTGAACCTGGATTGGTTCAGGTTTTTATAGAGCTGAGGTTATGGCTAAAGATTCTTTTAGGTATTAATTAATTTATGGACTATTTTTTTTGATCAATTAGAAAAAGTATTCTCAGTGGATTACCGTTTCTAAATAAACGTATGGAATTCAGAAAAAAACGTATTGCACGCTGTATGAATTTTAAAAGGGAAAAAAAGGAATACAGTAAATATACTTTCCTTCTGTTCTTGTTTGTCAGACTTGTTTCGTTTAAGTTTAACTTTCCCTGTCTCTCTTTTCTGCAGGTGCACTTTCAGGTTTCCCAGCACAAACATTAAGATCAACTTCACAGCCCTGTCCAGCTGGAAGAAAGCCAAGCGAGAGGCACCAGAGTCCCCAGTGAAACCAGTTCAGCCTCAGATCTCCCCCCTTACCATCAACATTCCAGACAACATTGCTCACCTAATGAGCCCCCTGCCATCGCCCACTGGCACCATCAGGTACCTTCACCATGGAAGGACCCAGGGTTATTAGCTTTAAATCTGAGGTTATTTTGCAAATGATCAGATTTACAGCAGGGATGGACGTCTCCTGTCCCTGAGGGGCCGTGTCCTGCAACTTTTAGATGTGCCCCTCTTCCAGATCACCTTAAATTAAGGGATGAGATTAAAAGCAGAGCTCTAGAGGAACCTGACTGCACATTAAGGAGGTATTTCAGCGATTGATTCAAATGTGTTTGGCCAAAACCTGTTGCAGGACCCCAGCTCATGGGACCTAAAGTGGCCTATTCCTGCGTTAAAGGGATAAAAGTCTCCTATCCTCACATTCTGCATTAATCTGAGAAAATACATTAATTTATGGAAATCATGTTTTCCATCAGCACGTCTCATCCCGTTGCTGCTTAAGTGATTGCAGCGTTCCCACACAGCCAGGGAGGTGGGCTAATTTGCATAGATGCCAGTGAAAAGCGTGTCACTGCAGCACAGACTGCAGATGAGCAAACCAGGCCCTTTGTTTTATTTTAAGCTCCGAATCCTGTCGTTTTGTCCTGATTTGGTTCCGTCTTGTTTCCTATCGACAGCGCTGCTAACTCCTGCCCCTCCAGCCCGCGGGGGGCGGGCTCCTCAGGCTACAGGATGGGGAGTCGCATGGTCGGCTCTGTGGAGCTGCAGCTTATTAATGACAACTCCCAGCCTGAGAACGACAAAGATGCCTCTGGAGGAGACAGTCCCAAGGTGAGGGCTGGCCCACTCTGCTTCGTTACATCAGTGGGGGGGGAGTAAGTTGGTCATTGCTCCTATAAATAAAAACTGAGACAAAGCTCTCTGGCCTTTTCTTAAAAGATAAATGTCATTGATCATTACAAAATTATCAAACGTCTCTTAGATTCTTGTTTTTTATTGGTTGTTTGGTTTGAAAATCCTCTCAGGCCGAGTTTAAGACTTTTAGATTAAGGTAACTTCATTCTAAATGGGTCAAAGAGAAAAAAGGAGTCCCTCAAGGCTACATGCTAGGCCCGCTATTAGTCTCGGAAAAATATTTCCAACTCATCTTTATTTTTTATTTTATTTTTTATATGAATGACGCTGAACAGCAATCATTTCTTTTAAATTACATAAATCACTCCATCTGTATTTTCATTTTTTTAATTTTAACTCCTTTCAAGTCCAGAAACGTCTCAATAACTGAAATATCAGAACCAACGGAATAAGGTCGACAAAATGATATATATTTTAGCTGTTTTAATGTACCTGATGCTTAGTTACTGAAACGTGTTCATATAAATACTCAGAGGGGGCATCAACCTTGTCTTTTAACAAGTAAAAAAATTGCGATCTGTAATCCATGAGTGCTTCGGATTCTCATCGCTAAACTTAGAACTAAATTAGAGAAAGTCTTCAAAGTTTGGCTAATTTCACACCCAACCAGGTTTGTTTGTGTGTTTTTTTTAAAGCTAAAGTTAATCATTTTGTTTTGCTGCCATCTCTTCCTGGTTTGATCCTAAAGGCGATAGCTACAAGTTTTAGATCCTGCCTGCCAGTTAGTTGCGCGCACACACGCCCTTCTTCTAATGCTAACCATATTCAACATTTAGCTTACCAGTTAGTTAAGGAAACAACATCCTTTGAGGCTCTCTGAGCCTCTTTGCTTCCTCAAGTCGGCTCCAAAGCTTAGAAGTTTGAACAATGTCCACCGTCATTTTGCTTCTTATTGAAAAAGCACTTTTTCATCTCTCTTATGAGTTACTAAAGATTTAAAATAGAATCTGTTTAGGTTGAGTTTGACATCGTAATCAGGAGTAAACATTTATCACAAAAATATTTGCGTTCTTTACGTACGTACTTTGTTCTTCAGTAAAATAAGTACCGTAATTTTAGGACTATAAGCCGCGACTTTTCCCCCATTTTTTGACCTTGCGGCTTATATAACAATGCAGCTTATCTATGGACTTTTACAGCTAACGGCCACTAGGGTGATACGGTACCTAAATCTATGGATTTTACCATCCACCATGTTGACGTCACATTTGCTTCAACACACAATTAGCCACGCCGCGGGAATGAGGACGTCCTCCGGAAGCAGACTCCGAGAAAGACAGACATTGCGAGCGCAAGACAGTTTGTGTGAGACCCTCATTATGGAAAACAATCATTGAAAAGCATATGATGCAGCTTTTAAGTTAAAGGCAGTCAATTTGGCAGTAAACGAAGGAAATGGAACCGCTGCTCGTAACCTTGGAAACAACGAGTCAATGGTGAGACGTTGGAGACGCCAGCAGGAAGAATTGTCTCAACTCAATTGTGTTGAAATGTTAATAAATAGGAGCTTCCCCAAACAGTTGCCTCTTTCCCGACGATCGTCTCTGTGCACGAACCATATGGTAATTAAACATAAAAACACGTGCGGCTTGTAAATGTACAAATCATGCAATTTAGCTTCTGCGGCTTATAGTCCGAAAATTACGGTACTTTCTTTCTGCGAAACCCTTTGTGTTCTGTGGATTTAGTTTGTTTAAAAAATGTATCGTTTTGATGGAAGAAATTGTACCTACGACCTTTAATGATACTGCAGTCAAATTTAGTTAAGAAACTAAAGTTCATAAGTTATTAGCGTTTACATTCTCTGGTTTAACTGCTCTTAAATGAAGTGTTATTGACTGCTGGGTGTTTTCTCTGCTCTGCAGGACGACTCCAAACCACCGTACTCCTATGCACAGCTGATAGTCCAGGCCATAACTCTGGCTCCGGACAAGCAGCTCACACTAAACGGAATCTACAATCACATCACCAAGAACTACCCGTACTACAGGACGGCAGACAAGGGCTGGCAGGTTAGTTTGGACTTCCTGGTTTTGGGTAATCTGCGCCGTGCGACGCTTCGGTTTCCTGATGTCTCTTTTCATTGTTGCAGAACTCGATCCGTCACAACCTGTCTCTGAACCGTTATTTCATCAAAGTGGCGAGGTCACAGGAGGAACCGGGAAAAGGTTCCTTCTGGAGGATAGACCCGTCCTCAGAGGCCAAGCTCATCGAGCAGGCTTTCAGGAAACGAAGGCCCCGGGGGGTGCCCTGCTTCAGAACCCCACATGGACCCCTCTCCTCCAGGTCTGTCTCATTAAAAGAAGAAAAAACTATTTACACTTTAAAACACTCCAACCTCAGTTCATTATGTTGGCTTTAGACAGGGTTCCCACAGATCCTCCTTAAAAAGTCTTAAAAGGCGTTGAATTCTTACCTGAGTGAAGTTGGCCCCCCCACCTTCTTGAAATCAGACAAAATTAGTGTCAAACGTTTGTGCAGCAAAAATTTTCATTTGTGCCGCTTTGGCTTTGAAGATATAAAGAGATGTTTCTAAAGGTCATCAAAGGTCAACCAGCCTCAGGATCAACGATCTAGAAATAAGTAAAAAATGTCATAAATTAGGTGTATTTACCCTTAATTTGAGTAGGTAAATGAGATAATTTGCCAATAGAATAAGTATTTTTACTCTTAAAATAAGATAATTAGATAATATGCACTTGAAATAAGACAAAGCAACTGTGTTTTCTTATTTTAAGTGTAAATTATGTTGTTCCATTGGCAAAATGTCTTTTACCTCCTCAATCCAAGAACAAATGCACTTATTTTAAGAAAAAATGACTTATCTAGATTTAGTTTTTTTTCCAGTGTAGTTGTTAAAATCTATCCGATTAATAATAATAATCCATCTGTTATTAGTGTGTTTTTAGCTTTATCCTATATGGAAAGTTTTTCAAAATTGTAAACATTTCCTCTGGGCCAGAAAATATAAATGTTGAGGTTTATGTTAAAATATAAATCTGTCTCAACCAGGTATTCTTGTGTTTATTGTGAAGTTGGTCTTGAAAGTTTTATTTGAAGGGACAAAAAAAGTCTTAAAAAGTCTTGAATTTGACTTGCCTTATGTTGTAGGAACTCTGTTTAGAGCAAAGAAAATCACTGAATCATTAGAATCCATGATTAGTAGAGTCTGGTTTTCAGCCGTTCTTACTCTGATACCATTAAATAAAACTGTAACCAGTTACCTTCAAAAGTCGTCACATAAATGGAGCCTTTCTGTTTCTGGCCTCTGAGAGAACAACCAGCTTTAAGAAGCTCAAGGAGCCCAGATGACGGATCAGGGATGAGTTCAGGTTCAACTTAAAGCAGGGTTAGGTCCTAAAACAAAACCCCAACATCTCCCACATCTAATTCAATCGATCATCTGAACGTGGAAGGATGGAGCAACTGCAGTCCTACCAAGACTTAGAGGTCCAGATTGACTGCCTGGGAAGTGGAGCATTATTCAGAGACGCTACGTGACTCTGAAGGAGCCACAACTCCAGTGGAAGATTATATTTATTGATAAAGTCCATAAATCAAGCTTTTATAAAATATGTTGAAAAGAACACGAGAAGGAAGAGGATCTGTTCAGATGAGAATAAAACAGCTGAGCTAATGTTCACCATGAGGAAACTAACACTGCACATCACCCCACCGTCAGACATGGTGGTGGCACAAGCATGATGTGGGGAGCCTGCCAATCCAGTTTAAGTTTGAATCTCTTTGCAAACAAGAATGTGGAGAAAAAGTAGAAGTTCAGAGCTGGAACAGCACCAAAAGACCTAAAACTTGAAGCCCAGAGATGATAAAATGCGGTCTAAGGTGGGGGTGACTGACAACTGTTTACATTATTTATGTAAAAATGATTAACTAAATAAATTGCTGTTTTATTTTTCTTCTGCTGCACAATCAGGCTCCACTTTGTGTTGGTTTATCGCCTGAAATGTGTAAAGATATTCCTTTTTAAAATGTACCTTTTGCTTAAAGCTCATGCAGAACATAATAAATAAATGTTTCAATATAAAGTCACAACCTTTAAAAGTTTTTAAGGAAATATAAATGTTGACTGTGACTTTTAGCCCAATAAAAATGTTTTAATCAAAATAATAAAACTAGTAGGATCTGCAGTCTGCCTAATGACCAGCAGGGGGCAAACCTTGCCCTTCTTTCTGTGTTCATTTTATGGGATTTCTAATCCAGTAGCTGAATATATTTAATCTGTGGGGATGAAGATGATCTGATGTCTTTAATTTCTGTTGTTGATTATTTAGGAGCGCCCCAGCTTCTCCCAATCATTCAGGGGTTCTCTCAGCTCACTCCAGCGGGGTCCAGACCCCAGACAGTCTATCTCGGGAGGGCTCCCCTGTTCCCCTTGAACCAGATACTTCTTCCGCTCCCCCCCCGGTTTCCACCGCCACAGTCCAGCCCAAACTGGCTGTGATCCAGGAAGCACGCTTTGCACAAAACACACCAGGTAGGACCCCTTATTACGCATCATTCTGCTTCTTGCATCAGTCTTATCCAGGTAGTTTTATGTCACTTTGTGACGTCATCAGTGATTCTGATCTGCATATCAATCCTTCAGGCTCGCCTGTTAGCAACCAGCCGGTACTCATAGCAGTCCAGCGTCAGTTACCTCAAACCATTAAGCCAGTGACTTACACCATGGCCTCCCCAGTGAGCACCAGCAGCTCCCAGCCCGCTGTCCAGACTGTCCACGTCCTGCAGCAGATCCCAGCCGGGTCCACGGTCATCGCCCAGCCCGCCACCATCATCAAGAGCGAGCCGCAGGAGAACGGGGAGCACACGGAGGTCAAAGGTGAGGCAAAGATGCTAACTGTGAAGAAAGTCGCTTCCTTTCTTTTCTCACCGGGGGGGAATATGAAGAAAAAAGTTTGTTTCTTCCTTTGTCTTTCTTTCTGTCTCTTTTA